ATATTTAAATAATTTAATTTTACGAGAAATACTTTTCCATAACATAATGTACGTACCTGAGTTTCTGCACCTCCTTCAGCTTCTTCTAATCGTTCAGTAAGTTGAATAACTTGAACACTGAGATCTGCCTTTTCTCGTTCGATCTGTTGTAAACAATACAATAGTTCGTTTAAGTAAAAAATGCAATTTCATAAGCGCAATTTAAGCATCAACTGAATGAGTTTCTTTTAAATGAATTTATTAATCTAAAAGAAGCCATACATTTCGCAATAAATTTTAGACAAATATAAAATTGATAATATTTTTGTTTTTGTAATTTTTTGCGGAAGGATAATGTTTATATTAACCAGATAGAAGATTAAACTGAAGAATATAATACGATGCGGACATCTTTTTACGGAAAAATTATCATTTGCATTTTTTATCAAATACAATAATTTAAATTTCAGAAATTTATATAAAACATTAAGAAATTGGAACGCGTGAATAATGAAAATTTGTATCTAAAAATGAAACTATGTCACGTCTAAATTTGTTACCTTCTTACTCACCAGTCGACCAAAACGATGACATTTATAAACGTTAAATTTAGATTTTGAATCCGGCACAAACACCTATGTTTCACGTTAATGAGTTTTGTAAATTTTGTTGGCTACCAGAAAAACAATTTACAGTATTGTGATAGTATTTCAGTGATGCGATTCATTTATTTACCAATTTTTTAATTAAAAAGTATTTACCTACGCAGGAATGATATTTTTCATTTAAAAAACTTTACTGTAAAAAAAATGTGAACCGACTATTTTCACTAGAAAAACTTTTTACTGTAAAAAAATGTGAACCGACTATTTTTACTGAAAGAACTTTATCTGAAAACTACGTGCCAGTATAGGTACCATTTTTCATATAAAACGTTGCTTTATATACTTGAAGAACCCAAATTTTTAAAGAGGAATTTGTACCCATAATGACCTGTTATGTGTCGTGTCGATTTATTAGAAGATATTTTGAATTTTTGGCTAATCGTAAGAGCACAAACATAAAATTCAGCATATCTTTTTAAAAAATGTATTAGTTTATCTACAGACGTGAATTTTAGTTATTTCCTATAATCTGGAAAATGAATTTCAATTGGATGCATGCCAAAAGCCATTGGACATACCTATACATATACATATACGTATTTTGGTTTACGAATGTGTTAGTTATCGTCTTCGAAAATAGCTTGTTATTTTTAAACTTGCATATTTTCTAGCGAACGCAGGTTTATGTATGTATGTAATTTGGAATTTTCAAGCGTAGGCTAACGTTGCGCTAAAACAGCAGAGCTTAACACAAACACATTTTTACATATACATAGGTACAGTCCTTTCACATGAAAAACGAACAGTTTGGGAAAACAAATACCTATGTACAATATGGCTAACAAAAATTTATTTATACAGGCTTCGCCTCCACTGCATATGACTATTATGAATAATATAAGCAAATGTAGGGCAAAACGTTATTGTCTTACCCTAGCTCGAAGTTCTCTCTCTGATTCAAGGTCATCCTGAAGGAGTCGAATTTTGTCCTGTAATTGGTAACACATACATATAATGAAGAAACTAGTACAAATAGCGATGGTAAGGGAACGTGGAAGAGAAAATTAATAAGAAAACTATATTATTAAATGAAGTAGGCACTTACTAGAAAGTTTTACTAGCCTACTCAAAAATGGTAGAAATGGTAAACTTCCACTTTACTTGTATTTATAATGCCAAATCTTTGAGTTCAACTATTTATGAAAATTAATAAGTTTGCGGTATTGCCGTTACATTAAAACTATTACTTCTAATGTTAAAAAAAGAAAACAAGTATCGGATACTCATTAACAGTGTACCAACGAAGTATCACCATGACATGCTTAGAATAGTTTGAAAATCTTGGTTACACACAAGGTGTTATTCAGGAAAGGGATATTAGATATAATGACCCTAATGGTAAAAAAACATTTAACAGAATTGTCCAAAAACATTTAACATTAAACATACAGGATTTAATAAAGTTGAAATATTTCATCATGAAAAAGATTTCCAAGGTAAAATGTAAGAAACCAGATAATTCATTACCTCAAGTCGAGTAAGGGCACTCAAATCGGCGCTATATTCGACACTAACGTCAGCGTTTCCAGCAGCTCCTGATGAACGGTAAGAATACCTTGAGGCTCTCGCCACCGAGGAAGACATCTTGTGTGTGAAGAAAACTTTTGCTCGTTAACGTTAAGTCAAGTACACAACAAGTCGTTGTCGTAACAGAAAAACTGAAATTAAATCCGCGTGTGCGCTGCCCGGCGTCACAGCCACACAGTAGACGCTTATCGTTCGTTTGAGCGTCGCGACGGCGAAAAAGGGTACGGATAGACGCGAGTATTATACTTCAAAGCATGCGCCTTTAGAATGCAGATAAACTGCGCAATGGTTTTGCACATGAATGACTCATAGTTGTGTGTATGCAAGCGTGTAAGGATATGCTTATTTTTGTATGTTTATTTGCATAGTTTTAGTAAGTATAATAAACGACCATATTAATAGGTTCTCTGTACTGTATGGCACATAAAAAAGCAAACTCGCGCAAGACATTAAGTATGGTTGTTACGAATATAACAGAAGTATAGAATTAGTCCAAAAATATTTGATTTAAATAAAATTGCATCATTTTGAATTAAAAAAATAATTCGTGGTAAACAGGTACCTATTATTAGAAAAATGCAAAAGTATTGAATTATTTAGTACCTTTAAGCGACCTTCTTTATGTGTGTAACTTTAGGCAAGTTTATTGAGAATGCTAGTCTTAATTTTTATTAGTTTATGCTTTTTAGTTATGTTTAGCAGATCTTCTGAAAACATGCCTTCAATTCGTATATGTACACACACGTACGTTAAGATAAAATAAGCGGGCCACGCTATTTGGCTGCCGTGCCTAGCAACTCTCATATTACCTGGTAAGGGGGAAGCGTCCTTTTATAGACACGATTATCGTTTGGAACCCAGAAAAAGCATACCTTACTGTAAAATAAAGAATTTTAGTTTTAAAACAAGCAAAATATACCAGTTGCGTTGTTAATTGGATTATAATTAAATTGTTTCGAAATGTCAATGTGAAAGGATATTCTTTTGATCTTCTTCGCATTGGATCATCACTTCTTTTACAGTGCGTTCCTTCTTGCGTAAGATTTTAATTGTTTCCGCATGGCGTCTCTTTTCCTCGTCCAATTCGAGTTCCATATCCCGAATACGAGCTTCTAACTTACTAATAACACGCTTACCACCAACAATAGCATTGGCTTCAACTTCTTCCAAACGAACAGATAGATTCTTGACTTCAATTTCGAGGGACTTTTTGATTGCTTCAATTTTGACAACGCGTTCCTATAACAATCAACAGAACTGATACTTATACCTACTCCATTTAAATTCATAAAATAAAATGATTAGATTTAAAAAAATGAGTTGATATAAGTTTTTTAAAAACCAATTTGACCTCTTCGTATAAGTATAAATGTTGAAAGTATTTTACTTAAGAAGACTATTCATATGTGTATTATCATATAAATATATAAAAACACTTCGCATTTCACAAAGTAACTCTTTACTTGCGTAAAGGCTATTTGAACTATATAGACGTGCAAAATGATATGTTAGTATAAATGTATGTTACTAGAAATATGTTGTACAAATGCTCATTAAATTTTGTCAAATATTGGTATTTAAACAAAAATAACTGAAGTTGCTACTTGGACTAAGCCTTTAAATATTTATATGATACTATCGTTTTTTTGTTATTTCAAAAGACATTACTTCTGAACAAAATATTGCCATTAAAAGAAAAACAATGTATAGTATAACAAGATTTAGTTAAAATGTATTTATGTAAAATATGAATAAGCTTGATTTGTTTCACAATTTATGAAGTTTAGTTTTCTTCGTGTATTTTCAATTTCAAATACAAAAACAATACATGCACATATTTACCTGCTCCTCATGAAGAATTTCCACTGTGTGTTTAAGTTCATTCTGTACTCTTTGATAACGTTCATCGGATATTCTAAGTTCTTTAGTGATTTCGTCATAATCAGCAGCAACTTGGGCCAACTCTTGTTCCAATTTGCTCTTTGATGAAGCTAGGCTTACATTAATTGTTTGCAGCTCATTTACACGTGAAACGGCTTCTTCATATTGCAGTTCAACAGCTTTCTTTCCACGAAGGGCCTGTTTAAGTTTTCATAATTTTTTAAATTGTAAATAGATTCAAAAAGTAATACTTACAGCCTCATAATTACCCCTAATCTCCTCAGCTTCAGCAGTCAATGCTTGAATTTTTCTTTGAGAAACGCTAAGTTGATCCAATGTGACGTTTAGTTGACGTTGAACTTCGTCATAATGTGCTTGAATCTCGGTTAGTTGAAGAGACTGTCTCTTAATCGTTTTCTGAAGATCGATATTTGTCTTATTAGCCACGTCTAAGGACATTTCCAATTCCGTTATCTGAATCTGCAACTTCTTCTTGATACGCTGAACTTCAGTTTTTAATCTTGTTTCAGCTTCAACTACACGAGCATTCAGCTGTTCAATTTCCAAGCTGGTTTGCTTGCTGCAATGTAGAATTAATTCATTTAGTTTATTTTGAAAATAATAGAAAACAATGGATACTTTTGTTGTTTAACTATAATTAACACAATTAACATTACACTAACAGCGATTTAAATTCTATTACATTTTTTTTTTCTACATCTGTTGGATGTTAATAAATTCGAAATAATTAATCGTAGAAATACATGTTTAATAATAGATTTCGTATGGTGAAGGATAAACAGTGTTAAACAAACTAACCATTTAAAGAGCAACATAAATTTACCAAGGAAGGTCACCTTCTCAATCACCTTTTATCGTAAAAAATTTCAGCTGTTCTCCGATTGAATCCTTTAAGATCGACACTGAGATCTTCCAATGGCCGAATTAAGTTTTCTTCAAGTTTTTTATCAATACGAGATGCCATTACCTTGAGATGAGCTCTTGATGTCGTTTTTAAAGCGCACATAGGTGCAAAAACGGACTGTTGCTGCTTCTCAATTGCATCTAATTCTTGGGCAATGGCTACATTTTTTCTGCTTTCAGAAAGTAATTGGTGAGCTATACCATCGGCTGATTTACCTCTGAGAAATTTCTGCATTGCCTTTAGCTCATATTCAACCTTTTTGTCCAAATCTGAGTCGTAACCGTGAGCTGCATCTCCCATTTTGTCTTTTAGCTGCTTTAATTGTCTTACTAATTCTTTTTCTTTCCTTGTCTTTTTTCTTCTTGGATTCACCTTTTCCAATGAATTACTCACTTCTGCTAGAGTACAAGGTCGAAAAACTGATTTCGTGTGAAACTTAGAATCTTTTAGAATCTCTTTGGTTTTTTTATTCAACTCAATCACACTGTTTCTTGTGGATAAGCAAGAGGATGTACTTACTGTTGCTTTTCTAATATCTTTTTTGTTCAAATGATCAATCACTGGTTTGTAGTAGTTTGCTCCAAGACTGTAATTGTCTTCATAAATAGACTTAGCTGTAGATAAAAGCCTTGGCACACGTTCGCTAAGGCGTTTAGATGCACTTGATTGCCCCACCATTTTCTTTAATATGTTGCAACAAAGGTTTAAAGGGTCATTTCTTCAGACCGTCACGTTCTTTATATACAGAATAGAGAGCTATTTTAATGCCGGCAGCTACTTATTTCCCGGGAGCACTAATTTTAACTTGCAATCATGTATATAGTGTGTTGTAAAAATAATAACACGGAACAACATGTTTAGTATATTCACTGTATGAGAACTGTTTCATTACATCTGAAATCACCTGTAGGTGTATACACTTAAGAGGGTGCCAAAAGTCCGTATGTAATTAATTAAAAGGAGACAGATAAGGAAAATGTTTTCTACCAAATTATGTTATAGTAAAAATTTCGCAGTTTCCCGCCTAACAAATTAAATTATATAGACTGAATTTCTATACAAATTATTTTTGTAAGGATCGTGGTCAGGAATTTATTTAAAAAGTGCAAAATGAAATAAGATACCTATCTAAATATTTTGATATTAAGAAATTTTACTTAAAAAAAAACATTTATTACGATACTTACCGAATTGCTTCAATTTCCTCATCCTTTTCTTGTAAACGTTTTTCAGCTTCATGTCTAAATTGTGCCAACTCTGAAGTTAAACGTTGAGATCTTTGTTCTTCAGCTTTACGGCCCTAAAGAGCAAACATTTCGGATAGCTAAATAAAAATAATTCTAAATAAGTTTTTATTACTTACAGCTTCTGCTTCTTTGTATGCTGCTGTAAGTTCTTCACGTTCGTTTTCAAGTCTCCTAAGCTCAATTTCTAACTCGTGAAGTCTTCTGGTCAATTCGGTGATAGTGTTCTTGGCATCGTGGAGATCATCTACAGAAATAAACATAAAAATTAATTAAATCGGGATATTTAATTGATGTTGCGAATTTTTATCTGGAAACACTGTAAATTAACGTAAAAATATTTACCAGCTAATTTCTTGTTTTCTCTAGTAAGAAGACTGTTCTGTTCTCTAGTTTTATCCAGTTCATGGTTGAGCTTTTGAATTTCGGTTTGCTTAACACGAAGATCTCTTTGTGCCTGATCATATAATTGAATCGTTTCGTCCAATCTAGTCTTTAACTCAATATTGGTTCTTTCCAAGTATTCCACCCTCTTTTGTAACTCCCTTGCAGTATTGTTAGCTTTCTCAAGGTCGATTATTAGTACTTCAACCTCCGACTGCAAACGTGATTTTTGTTTTTCCAAGTTATTGACTTTAACCAAAAGAGCTTCGATGTGTTCTTCTTGTTCCTGTAATTTATTTGGTGAAAACTTTTAAAATTTACTCAAATGATGCAACTTACTTGGATTCTAGCATTGTATTTTCTTCTAAGTTCTTCAACCTCTTCAGCTCGAGCTTGAGCTTCAGTTTCATACTTTGATTTCCAAATTTGAGCATCGCCTTGTGCCTTAACAAGTTGTCTTTCCAAATCCAAACGGGCTTCACTTTCTTCTTCAAGTTGTATACGCACCGACTCCAATTCAGTTTCTACTTGATGTAATTGAGCTTCCAATAAAGATCGCTTACGTTCATCATCTTCAGCTCTACGACGTGCATCTTCTAATTGAGTTGCCAATTGACTCTTTAGGTAATTGGCGTTCTCAAGGTTTATCTAAAATCAATTATTATAATGATAAAATAGTTCAACTCAAAATTACTTAGAATTCATTTACTTTAATGTCTTGCACTTCCTTCGTGAGTTCGATGTTTTCTTGGGACAGGCGGGTTTTGTGCGAAGTAATATCAACAATCGTGCGGTTCAGTTCTTCTATCTTAACGTTAAATTCGCTGATTGTAATTTCTAGTTTCTGAATGGTTTTTTCCGCCAAAAACTTTTCTTTATTGACTGATTCAACTTGAGCAAGGAGTTCATATACCTCGGCTTGAAATTTAGCCTTCTCCTTTTCGGCTCTAAGATATACACCAAGAAGTATTTAATAGTAATAATAATTACACAAAATTAATAAACATCCGAAATTATAAATACAGTTTTAGTAGGACATGTTCCATAATGGTATATTTAAGGTAATTTATAGTTACTTACAATTGTAAAATAAATGGAAAAGTAAAACTAGTGTGTTTATTTCAATTCTAATATAAAAATAGGAATAAAAGTAAAAATCGGCATTTAAAAGAGTAAAAATATAACTCAAAATTGAAAATGGTTCTATTGTTTTAAAATAATATATCAATCCGAATGGTGAGATAATTATAAGTTTTATGTATGTTATGTAGAGATACCCGGTACAATTTGTTCGTGGTCGAGAATACAAGATACTTTGTGTAAATTGACTGCGATTTTAAAACATGTTTGCTAAAATTTTACCTCTAGTCTCATGAAAATGTATTCGTGTGTTTTTTAAATTTTGTTTAATAAAGGAAATTGTTGTCCAGGAATCTGTTGAAAGGTTTTGGGGTTGGTAAAGAGTTGTTTTTGCATTGGACTAGAATTTTATCGTGGTGCAAAGTCATTTGTCTGTGATTGTGGTTTTTGTGTAGGAGTGTTGTGTGGTTGTGGTTTCTTGGAAGTACCTGCCATTTACCTATGTATCTTTAATTTCTTATTTTCGTTGTCTAATTATTTAAAATAATTAAGAGCCTGCGATAAAGAAATTGGCCTTCTTACTTTTGAATCTGAATAATAGAGTTCCCCTACAGATAATTTAAAAATACTGTGTGCCTCTTTCTTAT